GTGTAAAAACCCACCACTTAAAAACCCTACCACCACCACAATACAACCCTACTAACAGCTAATGGCCATAGATGCTGGGCTTAAGGATCATTAAAAAAAAAAAAAAAATTATAAATATAAAATATTCATGTATGGTGTATACGAGTGTAATATGCATTTATATACATATATATATATATATATAAATATTTTTGTTTTAAGGCTTCGACAACTGAGGTCATTAGCCTGTAGGTTGGTAGGGTCGGTACAGTAGGGTTGGGAGAGTTGGTACGGTTGGTTAGCAACACGTGTATGTGTGGAAAGGTTTTTCGCACTACGAACCCGGATGGTCACCCATCCGAGAACTTTTGGCAGCGGCCGTTGCTTACTCTCAATCACTTCTCGTGATTGATTTCAGCCACTGCGCCGCGTCGAGCTACGTATTTATATATTATATCATATAGGTATGTACTCATGTTTCATTTTATTAACAAATTATTGACTTTATTGAAATATAAAATATGTAAAATCAACGAAAACAAATATATTTAATAATTTATTAAAGTATTGTTGTTGTAACTTGTAAGAATGTAAAGGGCATAAGTCATAATCGTAATTTATTCATCGTTTTTCTAACCTTGCAGAATAATGTTTATTTTAATAATTTATTCCATTAATATTTATTGTAATAAGTAATAACTAATATTGACAATCGTTGATTGAAATAATGTGAAGTGTGATGGGTTTGCTTAATGTATATTTTATAGTATCCTATAGTTATAACTTATAGCCATGGTATTTTTTACAACTTATAATACACATAAACAATATTATAGAAAAATAAATGTTATAAATCCATAATGTTTGATTGAAACGATATTGCAAGTGACTTTGACGGATAATTGAGAACTATAATATAATATACTGTAATTTGTATTCTATATACAAAATCAATGCAAGTAGATTGTAAGTTAGTTCAATGTCAGCATAAATTATTGGCGATGAAAAGCTTATCAATTTTTAGGGCAACGGGGGTGGATCTGTACAGGGTTACTGGAAAAATAACACATATAAGATAAACAGCGTTCTCGTTAACAGCTTATCACTCTCTATCGTCAATAAGCACGTTTATTTACGTACTTGCAATACAAATTAAATTAATTTATAGTTATATCTACTGTCAGAATAAAATAGCACAAATTCACAAATCTAAACATTTTAAGCCGTTTTTGGAGCAGGGAGATAATATTTTTTATATCAAAAATAACCAAAATTATAAAACTATATTTATAAATTACCCCCCTTTATTATGCTACTGTTATATTTATGTACCAGATACTCTCTAAAAAAAACACCTTATGAGTAATATTAATGCTTATATAAACAATGATGTGATTTCAATCTATAAAATAACGTGGCAACTGAGGCAACTGCAGTCTGTGGTGCAGCATAGACTGCAGAGGATGCACCCATAGGACTGCCATATAGTTTCTATACACAAGACGTATTCCATAAAAATAATGTTATAGTAGTTTTAATATGAAAAATATAATTTTTAATACAGATACTTAACTCGTTTTGTTCACCTCCCTCCACGGGTTCCACTAGAAATAAGTTTAAAGAGAGTAGCGATTTTTCATGTTATACATCTCTTGGTGAATATTTAAATATAACTATAACTATTTTGGTCGGTTAGTAATAGTGTTACTCTTTATACTGTGGTATAATTTGACTGAAGAGAATAAATGTTACCACACTGGTTATTTGTGGTTACAGTAGTGGTTTATGGTGAAACCATGTTATCAACATAGTTTATATAGATTATCTATGGTTATCAATTGATAACACAGACTTCTAAGTATAGAATTAGATCAAAAAATATCATATCTTGGATAATACATACTGGATAGAACTATGATTTAAAATCTTGAAGCTGATTTGGTCTGCCCGTTTGGCTCCGATGTCACCACTGAGCATGCACAAAACCACTGCACATGCCCAAAACATCACCACGATTATAGTACTCCGTCCCGAGCTATCTTTTTCCATAAATTCATCGGGGCTGAACGGACCGACCAAATCGGTTTCAAGCGCAGACTACTGTCTACTAGTGTCATACGCATAGCTCTATCCAGTATATATTATCTAAGGGTCATATACAAACTCCTATACAGTTTTGTAAAAAATACTTTTAAAAAGTATTTGAATAATTACTCAAATACTTATAAAATAAAGTATTTAAAATACCACCCAAATACTATCTATTGTAATCTATCTGTTTTTGTCTAACACACGCGCGACATAGTATTTTAGACATTTTTTTTGCCAAACATACCAATTGATCTAATAATGCGATAAGAATTCTGAAAACAGATTTGAATATTTCGTCAAATCTACTTGAAATCGACTTTCCCACATTTTTGATATTATCCCCCAAATTCTTAAAAATGTCATATTTAAAAAGAGTATTTAAAAATTCTGGTATTTCAATTTTTGTTGGAGAAGTTAAAAAAAAAATCAAAAATGTGGGAAAGCCGATTTCAAGTAGACTTGACAAAAAATTCAAATCGGTTTTCAGAAATCTTATTGCTTCAATAGATCAATTATAATGTATGGCAAAAAACACGTCTAAAATACTATATCGCGAGTGTGTTAGATGAAAACAGAAAATCATTTTATCGAATCCCCTTGATCAAACATTTTATATTTTCTAATATTTTCGTGTAGCAAAGTTAGTAATAAGTAATCACACAGTATATTTTACAGTCAATAAAAATGTGAATTATGAATGCCTATAGCTTTTGCTTAACGGCTATAATATATTTTAAATTGGTACCGTTTCGATTGTCGTCGATGAAAAAAATATTTAATTAAGCTATAAATAGATGAAAACCAAAACCGATATTGAATTGTCCATAAATTAATAATGATTAATATAATATATTAATAATTATATTATAATATAATTATTCTTATAATATTATATAGGAACAAATTAAAAATTAAAGGAATAAAAAAAAAGTATTCAATAGTAAAAAAAAGTATTTAAAATACCATTCATATACTTCAAAATAAAAAGTATTCAACTATATAATTTATATTGTTATCCTTGAAGCTCAGCTGTGTGGACGGCCGCCTTTTTGTCGGTTGGCAAACAATTTCATTCATTATACAAAATGTATTATTAATAACATCGTTTTCAATGGTAAAATAAAGTAATAGATGTAAAATGATTTTTTTTTAAGATAATAGGTATAGAAATAATTAAATAGGTACAATACAACATAAATCATAATAATTAATCTTATTTACCATATAAAATACCATACAATGACAACCAAACAACCACGTTTCAATTTACAGCGGGAGTTTGCTATCTACTACTATAAAAAAATCTGTGATTGATAAACATTTTTTTTGGAGTAATCACTTATCAAAGTAGACTATTAAGGTTACCACAAGCCATAACCGAATATAACTATTGCGGTAACATTTATTCACTTCAGGCACACGCTCTACCACATAATGTCCTATCCATGTATAATGTATATTATATTATCCATGGAAAACATACATAATTTTTTTGATTTAAAGACTTTTTAGTCTTTGCATTCAAAGTAAAGATTTTGATTGAAATGTTGTAACAAAAATCTCAAACAAAAAAAATATCTGTTTTTAAATATGATTAAATTAAAGTACAATTTTAAAGTAATTTAATAAATATGTTACATTAAATAATTTAAATATATTCACAGTATTTAAATATTTTAAGAGACATGGAGAAATATATCGCTTTAAAGTTAATAGATCATATTATTTTACACAAAGTCGAAATGTAAAATATATTATAAAATAACTAATGAGATAGGTATTAAGAATAAAAAATGTTTAATTTTATTTTTCAGAAATGTATAAATGGTTCTAAAGATAAACTTTTAAAAGTGATTTTAAGGTTAGGTATTTACAATATGCACCTTTGCTTCAAAATTAAATGCTCTAACAAAATGCCCTAACTCAAATATTTTACTCGTAGTCTATATCTTTATTGTTATTTTCATGAATATATAATAATAATACATTTGTAATTATATAATTCAATACAATAAAAATTACATTTACATTTATGTTATATATATTTTTTTGGCAGAACATAGTTGCATAAATAAAAATATATATTATGAAAGATGACGAATATAATGCAGATAAGTTTATTATTTTATATATTTTAATTTTATTAAAAAATATTATGTACTATTTTTGATTTTACATTAAAAACACCCTGTAGTTTACTAACAGAGATACATTGTTTAATTAGGTACACAACTTTAGTCAGTAAAAATACAAATATGATTGAGAGATTTCGTTTTGTAAATCTTAGAACATTATAACTAATATTTCCTAATAATAAAAAAAAAAATAAATAAATCATAACTAACATACTTACATATTATTGAACCTATTTTACTAAACCTACTATATACGTAGTATTGTAGTAAGTACTATGACTAAACGAATAAACGATAATATGAATTCGAAATGAGGCGCGTATGAATTTAATATGTATAAAGTTAAAAAATATATGTTTAAGCTTAAGGTATTGCAATGTTGTTAGAATAAACAAAATCGCACCTGAGACAGTATTTTGACAAGGCACATGTGAGAGTCACGTGATGAGTTTGTATGTTTGTAATTCTGAATTCGTTATAATATGTAAAACGTGTGACATAACAAAATTAAGTTATGAACATGTGTTCGGCCAATTAATCGAATCAAAAAATTAATTTGATAGTAAATTAATAATATTATATTATTGAAAAGGATGAATCGAACGACAGTACCAAAATAGTTTACAGGACTCGAAAAAGTGTCGCGGACGAGACGAGACAACCACCTCATCATCCCCACCCGAAAATCAGGACCTCGAAATATAATTATTGTTGTTGAGTTAAGACGAATTTCGGGTCCGACCACTGGCTGGGAGGAGGAGGGGGGTAGGTTAGGTATTCGGGTGGTTTTTGAGTTCACAGACTCCGTGCGATCGAGTGTAGTAACAAAGCTGACAATATACCTAAGACGGGCGGTGTGGACGTGGGGGCGGCGCCGACGGACAGCAGCTGTTCAACGGCCTTCATCGTCCCGTCAATTTGTCGGTTCGGCTCTTTTAGGCCAGCGATCCGGCTGATCAGTGGGTAAAGGTCCACGTTGTCAAACTGCACAGCGGTGTAGTTCTTCTTGAACGCCGGTCCGGAAGCCATGAAGATGGCTCGCATCTTCGGTTCCGCGTTGTCGTACCCGTGCGCCCCTACATTGAATTTCTCCTTGGCTGAAACACGGACAACAATCACCGTTTATAGAATGTCTTGAGCGTAGAGTAGGACGTTAGGTTACAACATGATATGATCGAGATAAACGAACAAGTAACGGTACATTATAACGATTATTTTTTTAAAACCAAAGGGCAGCGTTTATAGCAAGGATTGGTTTGACAAACGTATTGATAAAGGCCACTCTAAAATGTCTGTTAAATGATTGGCGTACTAATGTAATGTCATGTACCTACCTAGAATAAAATTCATTCGATCAAGAATAAGCTACTGCCATCCAACCCTGCACTACTACCTCATCAGCAAAGGTTCAACACCAGTATGTGATACTTGCAATGAAATACTAACAATAGACCAAAGTATAGTGTTCAACTGCCCCAAATATGCCGAAGCCCTCAAAATCACTAACCAAAGAAAGCATTGGAGCAATATGCCAATAAGAATATTTTTCCATATCTACTTCAAAAATTGAAGATGGTGACTTTAATTCCAAATACCTAATATGGAGCTGTCACTCCACCTATCCAAGAGGTAAAATCCTCCATAAAATAATTACCGATCATAAATGGTTACACCTCGCATGCACTGGACTGACATACTGGCCCACCCATATCAGGTTAGGTTATAACTTATAAGCATCCAGATATTCTGGAATTCTTCATACAGTATACACTCCTCCCTATGTAACTATATTTTTAAATCACAGGACTCCTTTTTAAAGACATTTTGTATACAGGTTAAAAAAAAAATTCCGCTCAGAATCTAAAAAATATATTTATGTATATTTTATATTAATTCAGAGAATATTAAGGATTTATAAATACGTGCACTGTTATTATGATGTTTCCTTTCAGATATTAGTAACCACAAGAAATAATCACAGTGGTACTGTATAATATGTATTATCTATAGACTATATATATATAGCTATAGCTATATTAAGGCCCATGAGAGGAACAACCAACTTCATGCATATAGACTGACAAAATTACTGTTGTCGAAGTCTTACTTCTCCCATAATCGCACCGTTTCAACCACTCCTGTGGGAGGCAGGCGCGTCCCCAACGCCCCTTTGCCCCCGCCATAACAATTTTTAATGTATAAAATTACTCTCATTGTCAACAAAATAATAATGATCAACATTTTAATTTACCGTTATAGGTACCTAACTAGAAAAACTAATCACTACAAAGATAATAACTATTATCTATGGATAACCATTACTGTTCAGATAAAGATAATATGTAATTGTACTAATTATATTAACAACACTAAAAATTAAACATTAAAGGTGAATTTATGAAAAAATACTTTGTTACATAAAATTATTTGTAATGTAGTAGCATTAAAAAAAAAATAAAGTCAGTAAAATTGCACTTAATGTTATTTAGTTAAATATGAAAAATACGCGTAGGGTAATAATTGATTTAAAAAATAGATTCACCACCCCCCCCCTAGAAAACGGTCCAGGAACGTGAAAGGGGGAATCGATGAGCAGCGACAGACAATTTTATCTGGTCGTTCTCTCGTGGACTTAGTATAGGAAAAAAATAACGTCACTGTAAATTAAAACACTAGAATGAAATTTCAACTGTTGATGGTGGGTTATTTATTTTATGTTTTAGGTATATTGTTGTGCTTACTAAAAGTGTTTTAATAGGCACCAAAATTTTATCTAAAAATTTAGGAATAAAAACGTTCGTGGTCGTTTATCACAGCGTTAGCGTAATTTTATTTAGCTGAAGGTACTAACTTGTTTCGTTCAAAATATATTCAAAGTATGTAGCCCAAAACGCATATTCAGGTTTGGCCAACAAATAAATAACATCGGTCAACCTAGTATTATTTTTCATATGCCAACGGTCAGGTAATTGATCTTGTTTGAATACATTAAATGTTCTGGAAGTATTGGCTACTTTTGAAAGATTTTTAGAAAACTTCGTCAAATTATCTGAAAATAATAGCAACGATAAAAAGTGTTTAGTCTCAGTAGTATCACTCATGTAGTTATGCTCATTACGACGGTTTTATTTAACTACTCACTCGGATTTGGATGTATGAACACATTAGGACCTGACATAACGCTTTGGTAAGTCGTATTGGACACATATTCATCTAAGTGAATCATTCGATCATACGTAACTGTATCCATCCCGTGATCGCTGAGAATAATGAGATTTATTTTGTTTTCTAGTTTTTCATGTTTTATTTGATCGAGTATATACCTAAAATTATTATTTTTTAAATGTTAATAGTGTTAAAAAATATGAAACAGATTATTTTAATCTTAATAAAACATAACTTAGATAATATAAAAAAAACGATAAGAAAAATTGAAAAATGTTTTTTATATCGTTCACAGTGACGTTACCTGTACTATAAATTATCTTAAAAGAAAGCTTATGACTTATTTCAAATATATTTATAAATCATAAATACTTTAGAGTGGCATCTGCTCTCACAATCTGATTTTTTGTCTCTTGTGAGTCGGATCCTTTTAAATGAGCAGTATGGTCTGGTTCTTCAAAATACGCATACACTAAATTGGCTGGTTTATTTTTGTCTTTAATCCATGACATAATTTTGTCTACACGATCGGTCCAAGGCATTGAACTGGACAAAAATAACTAAATAATTATTTTGGTCAAACAATTGACACGATTGTAAGAAAAACCTAATGAAGGGAAATATTATTGTTACATAGATATTATTTTCGAAGAATTGTTATTAAATACCTGTTGAACTTGCTCAATCATTTTTTAACAAAAAGCAACATTGTATTTGAAATTGGTTGGTTTTATATTTTTAAAATATCCCATATATTCAAAAGGTTTGTTAAGTTAAAAAGTCTGAAAAAATTGTAAAAAGACTATGGACTGGTTGCTTATAATTAAAATTATCTTAATATATTATTACCTGTTGTATTTTTGAATATGGGTAGGATATTTGTTTTGATACTCAAATCGGATCCTGCCACATCATCACACCGCTATATCGTCCATCTCCATTGATTTCGTTATGAATCTGAATTATTTATCTTATAAAACCATGCGAACGAAATCAGGATCAGTGAAAAAACAAGGATTTACACATGGGGGAGGGGATGCCTGAAACTAATCAAGATGCCTTGTTGAGTGGCTACCGGCAACTACTATATTATTAAATATTAATAGAACCAAAACAAAAATCAATAGGGAGAGATACAGTAGTATTAGTTATAAATTTGACACCCTTTGGACATTGACAAATAATTCATGGGAAATATACTACGAGCGTCAGTAATACAAATAATGAAAGCTTGCTGTTTAGTGCAGGTGATGGAGAATGGAGATAATATAGTAATATCAATATTTAGTGGCATAATTTTAAGGTATATCAATCACTTAATTTTTAATTCTCTGCTAATGCAATTTGAAATTAAATTAACATTATGTTTAAAATCATCTTTTTTGTTTAGGTTTGTTATAATTACTACTATATGTTTCATCAGAAAAAGTGTTCTGAAATGATAGGTACTATAAGTAATATAAGTAGGTGAATAATTTTCAAAATTACTTAACCATCGTGATCTAAGTATAATATTCTAAAAACTTGATATTTTATTTCAATTCGATTGTTAAGCAATTTTTAATTTTTACTTATATGAACTGACCATTTAATTGAAAATTAATAATAAAGTGGATACAATTAATACCCAATCTCTTTCACCAAATACAAAGAGGAGAATTAGCAGTATTTATTAATATCGTGATGAAAATACGGAGATAAGTGCCTAGTACTCATAATAATACTAGTGTAGTATCCTCTAAGGGTCTCGTTGATGATAATAGTAATCCAAACTTAAAGTATAATATTCATATTTTGTAAAATGAAGGTTGATTTAAAATCATAAACATATAGATAAGATATTAAATTGGTTTGTTAATTTGTAAATAAGGCAGGTACTTGATTGACTACGAAAACTGGTTGTTGTGTACACGTCTTGTCTCGTATATCATGTCAGGCCTTGACATAATCCAGTATTATATTTATTCAGAATTGTATAGAATTGTATAAGTCATGTACACATTCCAAAAATAATTGTATAAGGTGCATGTTTTACTATACAGATTAGATATATTATATAATAACGTGAACCTATAACTTTATCAGATAATGTATTAAGGTGGTTTTATCAGTACTTAAATATTTTTAATTTTCTGAAAAATTATAGAAAATAATTTGTATGCAATGATTGTAATTATTACTCTAAGTACTACTGATTTAAAGAAACTTGTGGAGCTATTCATCTACCACAAAATGTGTGAAAGTTGTCCCAGAGTTATCTACTAGTAAAGCTAAAATAAAATAATATATTATTATGAGTTTTATATACAATTAGTAGAATTATTATAAGTCATAATTGACAGGTATTATACAAATATAAAAATCCCAAAATTCAAAAATTTTGAAAATTCATTTTAATCTTATTCAATTACCTGTTCCGAAAAGTAGTTACCTACTTATATTTAGCAAATCAATAACAAATACGATGTAAATTAGAATTTAGATTTTGCAAATAACTTCTAACCGTTAGACCACTTAATAATAACAACTATCCGTGTTTATCTATTTAATTATTTCTTACAATTAACTGTAAAAATTTGTTGTATTTAATTCATAAATATGAACGTAATACAAGGTGTTATATGAAAAAATCGTTACATTCTACTAGTTACTAGTTACTAGTTACTAGTATTACATTAATTGCTAATTTAATCATAACTACTTATATACAACTGTAATCGTACATAATATTATTATGATAATTTTCTTTATGCTTAAAAACCAGTAATGTTTATAATTTTATGTTTTCCGTATAAATTTAAATTTAATTTTGAAAAATGATTGTTTACCTATGATCGAGTATTGGAGTATTTACAATTATACATTTATATTTTATACATTAATTACCATCGGAATATCAATAAAATAATGAATATTGTAAATTGTAATGCTTTCGGTTTCTTTTAAAAATTATCCAACCTAACCTGACTTGACCTATTATTTGAATAATTATATTAGTATTGCGAGTTCATGACGTTGTATTTAAAATACGTGAAAGTATCAATAATTAATAACAACTGGTAAATTACTATAATATATTATGGTATTCTATTAACATTTTACCTTATACGGAAGAGCAGTAGTGGCACATAAAAAAATATTTGTTACAATTTCGACTTAAAAACTAGAGATTTCGATTTATCAACTAGGAATTTCGAATTAAGAACTCAGAATTTTAACTTTCATCTTCAAAATGTCGACTTAACAACACGAAATACTTACAACACAAACATTTTCTGAATTTTTTATACGTAATGAGCTATCAAAGACCAGAAATCTTTGAAATTCACTGTAGTAACTGTATTCACTATATTTAATAAAAAAATGTATATTCAATAAAAAATACCTTGATTGAATAAAACAAATCTAAATAGAAATAATAAATCTTAATAAAAAGTCTATATTTGATACAAAAATCTATATTTAATCAAAAAGTATATTCAATCAAAAAAGATTTTTTTTATTAAATACATATTTTTGTTTTTAATTTAGATTTTTAGGTTTTTTATCAAATAGGTATACATTTTTTTCTTTAGTATAGATTTTTTTATTAAATATAGATTTTTTTTTTATCAAATATAGTTTTCATTATATTTACAATTTTTATTAAATACAGATTTTTGTATTTAATTCGTTTTTTACTCTACATGGCTTTTTATATTGAAATACAAATTATGAAAAATCTATATTTGATAAAAATGTATACCTATTTGATAAAAAACCTAAAAATCTAAATTAAATACAAAAATCTGTATTTAATAAAAAATTTTTTTTGATTAAATATACAGGATGTTGCACGATAATTGTATCAAACTTCTAGAGGTGTTTCTACACCTCAAATGGAACAAAAAAATTCCTTGTGATCATAATCGAATTATCAATAATAAGGGTGTGATAATTTCCATGTTTGTGTTTTTTTGTTAAACGCAAGTTTGATTCATAATAATGTTCATATCTGCCAAACCGTAAGCACTACAATTAATTTGAATACATTGGTGAAAAGCTCATACAATTGGAATTAGGAAAACATATCTTACAAGGTTCCCACCTGATTTTTTTGGGTAAAAAGAATAACATACATTTGTATAACTTTAAAATGTCGAAATTTTAAAAAATTTCAGTTTTATCCTACAACAATTTTTTTTTTAAAGCAGGTAGGTGCAAATTTCAAAAAAACTTCAAAATGTTATAAGTTTTTCAACAGTGTACTCGATTTTTTCGTTTAAACTTTCTGAAGGGCCGGTATTCCACCTAATGCGTGGAAAAACCAGAAAAATCTTAAACAAATTCTAAGCAATAAATACAAAACCTGGTAAACTGATTTTTTTAAAATATCGACATTTTAAAGTTAAAAAAATGTGTGTTATTCTTTTTACCCAAAAAATCAGGTGGGAACCTTGTAAGATATGTTTTCCTAATCCCAATTGTATGAGCTTTTCATCAATGTATTCAAATTAATTGTAGTACCTACGGTTTAGCAGATATGAACATTATTATGAATCAAACTTGCGCTTAACAAAAAAACACAAACATGGAAATTATCACACCCTTATTACTGATAATTCGATTATGATCACAAAGACTTTTTTTGTTCCATTTGAGGTGTAGAAACACCTCTAGAAGTTTGACACAATTATTGCGCAACACCCTGTAGATTTTTTTATCAAATATAGACTTTTTATTTCTATTTAGATTTGCTTTATTCAATCAAGGTTTTTTTTTGTTGAATATTATTTTTTTTATTAAATATAGTGAATACAGTGATGGCAGTGAATTCCAAAGATTTCTGGACTTTGATAGCTCATTACGTATTAAAAATTCAGAAAATGTTTGTGTTTTTTTTTATTGAATATAGATTTTTCATTAAATACAGTGAATACAGTAACTACGGTGAATTCCAAAGCTTTCTGGACTTTGTAAGCTCATTACGTATTAAAAAATTCACAAAATGTCGTGTTGTTAAGTCGAAATTTCAAATTGATAAGTTGAAATTTTGAGTTGATAAGTCGACATTTTGAAGATGAAAGTCAGAATTCTGGGTTCTGAATTCGAAATTCCGAGTTTCTTAGAGTGAAATCGCCCATTAAAAAAACGATAGAGAATAATATTTTTGAGGGTATGACATATCGATTGGTCTAAATATTGTCTCAAAACAATTTAAATATTATTTAAATGTAATCATTGTTTTTATTATTTTGAAAGTCGAATACAACATCAAATAACAATAAAATATAAAACCGATATGTGATATGCCATACCCTTAAAAATATTATCTTCTATAATTTTTGTAGTAGGGAATTTTGTTTTACTCTAAGATTACTCAAAAACAAAAAAAAATGATTTTGTGTAAATGCGTTTTATCTATGTTGCGCGCCAGAGAGAGAGAAAAAAATAGTGCGCTGACATCCTCTTAAAGTTACTGAATGTGTTGATAGGTATGATTGAAATATACTAACAAATTATTTATCAGTAATTTTGTATAAAAATACTATTTACATGTCGATTGTTTCCTATACCTATTATAAATGTATAAATGTATCATGCATATGTAATACCTACAATCTACATTAATGCATTATATGATTGCATTTATATAATTGTGTCGTAATAAGCTTATCTATTAGATATCACGTCCACGTAAGAACATTAGGTATGAACATTATGAATAATATTATTATTTTATACTACACAGTAGATGAATTATCACTACATTTATATACCTATACGTTTTACTTTTACATATTGCACTCGTTAACCGTTACATTCCAAGCCATACAGATACATTTGAATTTATAATGATTTGATAGTTGTTAATATATAAAATTATTAGTCATTGGTTTTCACAGGTATGAGATGTAAATATGTAATTCCCCCTGTTTACACCACTGATAAAGCTCAAAGTAATGTACGATCGTTCGAACGTTATTAGGTACCTATACCTATTGTAGAAAATAATTTTAACAAACATAAATTAACGATCTTATTACAACTTGTATTATGTATATATTTGATTGTTTCTTTACTATATTCTAGCCTATAATTATTAGGAATTTATGTTATTGTACCATTTCTGTTCAATTTATTGTAATAACTTATTTATTTACTTGTACTATTGGGCAATTTTCCCGTTTTATTCATTGAATAAACAAAAATAAAAAAATATTATATGTATATCGAGACAACTACCTATAAGTATAAGATTAGAACTTACATTTTAGAATTTAAGTGTATCCAACGTATTGGTTTCCTACTACCAATGTAAATATAGTAATAAATTAAAATGTTGACTTTGATATACTCTTTTACATTTATTTAACCGCAGAGCCACAGTGATGGTATGAATTAGGAGGTAGGTATAGTAATATCGAAAGATAAAAGTTGAAAAGTCACGTGGTGGGTTTGATCGATTTTGAGCGATCAATCCTGTCCGGTGGAGGGGTAATAATGTTTGAGTGCATTACCCTATTATTATTATTATTATTATTGTTTATATTGTTTTGATGTATTCGAGTGGAATAATTTAAATAGTTAATTTAAGGTTGAATAATCACGGATATTCGTTATACATAGTTAGGAACATCGGTTGCTGAAAACCGGTTGGACACGAATCTAAGAAAAAACTGCAATTGTTCCGAAAACTATAATATGTTATAGTACGCGTCAGACGTCACCAAAATCGTCGTATGTGAATGATTGAGGATGATGGACCGAAGTCATTGACCTGATATTATAGAATGGACATATTTTCACTTGTTAGAGGTTAGGGAGCTCGGATAATAACAGTATGTTTTAATCGTTCGGCATTCACTGAAATGTCAGTCTATCCGGTGCTCTCGAGTTAGGAGTCACTCAAACGGGCTTGTTAAAACTCAAATCGGGCAGTAGCGCCAGTACCATAATATTGCAATTAACGAGTAGGTATAGTATAAACGGATAGTCATAAATTACTCAAAATAAAGTGTAGTTGCAGTTTTGTTTAAAATACTACAAATACAAATACCAATCCATTAAAAATTACATTTAGTTTAATAAGAAAGATGCAATAATATTATACTTTTCCGTTACTAAACATGCTCCCTTAATTTCTATTACAATTTATGAAAACTAAAAAATTATTATTTATAATATGCCATCGTGGTGTGTTTTTAAGACCGTTGTAGTCTTGGCCAGAAGTTATTATGGTTTTTCAATTCCAGAACTTAATGAAGCTTTCAATTCCAACATTATCTTAAACCAGTCACAGTCACATACTATATGAACTGTCGCATAAAATGTCAAAACAGAACACAATAATATTGTTAATCGCAAAAACATAAGCCAGTCTACTCATTATATCCTCGTCAAATCGGAGAAAAGCGATCATCAACACGTCCTTTTTGATCAAGCAGTATAATATATGCCATATGGAACAAACACTTTGAACACGGTCCGACTGCTCACAGGAGTTATCTTTATTACTGCTCCTGTTAGATATAACATATCTCACCTTGGGAAGATTGTGAGATGAAGTGATAGAGGTTAACCGGCACCATCGAAAAGCGGTGGAAAATCTTTCGGAAAATCTTTAAACCCTACTCCGACCAATGACGGTACACAATATAGCTATAGCCTATAACATGGTATAATTAATACTTAATAGTGTAATAATATTATTTTGCTTTAATTTAAAGTATAATACTCTTTTTTAATGAAGTATAGGTACCTACCAAAAAAATCTCGATACAGCTTACAAAAGGCTATATAATATGTAATTTACTACGAGACACTCGACGTGTTAATGACGAACACAGAGCAGCTGAATTTATCATTATTATTTTGCTAAAATTCAGCATTTCAACATACACCTTTTCGATTAAGTATTTACTATTGTCTATTTGAATTACCTACATAAATTAAATAGTTTTGACCATGTATTTCGAATTACGGATTATGGAATATGTGTACGATATTTTATTATTTTGACTTGATTATACAAGTCCTTATGTCCCAGATACACGCATAATGTAAAGCGCATTTATTTACTCGATAAATATCCGAAATTAATACTTAAAAAAATTAATATTCTTTTGTATCAAACCAAATTTCACATTTATCAATGGATTACAACATTTTTTTCTATGTTAGAATCATTAAAATCATTCTTAGCTGAATTTTGAAAAACAAGACTGATAGTCGATAGGTAATATTTTTTTTCACAAGTATTTACTTACAAAAACTTTACTGAATACATCGTATATTTCTGTATCATGTGGTGTATTGTTTGTACGTAAGTAGGTACCTGCTCAATTTGTGTCTGATATAAAATACAAATTGGATTTTATTAGCTTATAAATACAAGTTTAGATTTCTAACAAGACCTTAAAGTTTATCAAATTATATAAAAATGAAGTAAGTCCGTTAGAAAATAAAATAAATGTGGGTCCCCACTAAATTCTGCACCGGGCACCGAAATTAATTGGCCGGCAGTGGTTAGTGGTTACATCTATGAGATACTCTAATATACAATATTACCGAGTTTATACACCTAAAATCGCCTATGGTAGCGTATTCCAAACCTTTTTATAATATCCATTACTACACATTTTGAAAATTGGCCTACCACTTGATCTAATAACTTTATTTTTTGCTCATCATAAATTGTATACGTTATTTTACATTCATGGAGCCTTTTATTAGGAACTACATAATTTTATGAAAATGTTAGGGTTTAATGAACAAAACTACAAAAGTTATAGGTATATACAATTATTATTATAATGATTATGGCTTAAATACTTTAATGCGATGGTTGGTGTTGTTTTGAATCAACAATTAACAATACCGAGCTGAAGAGCATCGTGTATTGGTAACTATAATAGTCTTAAATAATTTTATACTTACGTTTAATGTATTTTTATGTAGGTATTAATTTTCATTTGTTTGCATACGACAGGTTGACAAATTTATTTTTGCACAGATATGTCGATACAGAAGCAATTAGAAACTTTAGAACTTATGTGGACAACACCGATGTTTAATGTTAAAAATAATTAAAATTTTTTTATAAAGCGAGATTTCTTCCCATAGGCTGAGATTAAAAGGCGCTTGGGCGGCTTAGCCTTAAACAAAAAATTGAAAACCTCCCTAAATAGTTATTTTACAATCAATTGGAACTTGAAAAAATATATATCGCTCGTGATTTTGTTAATAAAATAATAGTTTTTCTTCTTCTACGCCAAATATTGAATACATATAATATATATAGGTATAACAGCCAATAATAATTACACTATTCAAATATGAGGTACCTATCATTCAATGAGCCAAATTGAAAATTCATTTATTTTATCATGATAGCTGATTGTATCGATGTCAAATGAGACTGTGGTAATACAGGCTATGGAGAACAATGACCACGGTTTTAGAACGACGAGTTAAGAGTATACGCCATCGTAATTCGGTTGCAAAATCTGTACAACTCGGTACACATTTTCTCTCATCATATTTACTATAGAACTATCTGAATCCCGGCTTTACCCGTGTGCAGGTTTTTTTTTTGTGGCAAATCCTATGTATAAACGCTTATCTCAGTTTAAGTGTACCTCACGGGCAAATCAGCATCAGTGTACACAGCTTTGTAAAATAACTCGACCTAGATGGGCAACCTCAAGTTGCGGGTTGGTTTTAGCACTTGGTCTATTTGTTAACGTGGTTTAAGCTACTTATTCTCTACACTTTTCTTACATCTCTAAAAACAATCCCTGTGATTTTCGTCAAATGTAATTGAGTAGTTTTTGAGTATATAAGCTCCACACATACATTTTGTTTTCAGATATGTTGATGACAATGTGATGCATGCTTGTACATGATCTACCTGGGCAACCAATAACAACCATTAATATACAAAAAAATAATACTAATTTCTATTCTTACTATTTATTATCTGCAACCAATGGCTACCATTTAAAACGAAAAAAAAAAAATTTATCGTGAATCTCAAAATCCATGTTTGATCGCCTATTTAAAATGCGAATACGAAATATCCTTTCTTATTTCTCATTGTCATTAGAGGAATCACTAATCCAAATTTTAAGTTCATACGTTTTGTAGTTTTTGAGATGTAGAGACGAATGCGAGTGAGTGAGTAGTGGTATTTGGCTTATTTTTATGTACGTTACACCAGTCCTCTCATTGAAGTTTTTAAAAAATAAAACTTTGTCACTACTCACCAAACTTAGCATGAATTTGCACGACTATTTTTAGAATTTGCAGGATCCTTTTTTTTTGTTATCATCATATACATAAACTAAAATCTTACAACAGATAAAGAAGAACTTTATCTATCTATTCGTAGCATTTTTATTATTTATATTGTAATATTTCAAATTATTATTGAATTATACTCTAGTGACGTAAAACTCCATTGAGTTTTTTGTTAGCAATGCAGTATTTAGTGCGTATTGTAAGTAATATTATGATTAGGGGGAGGGGGTGCGGGGACGAAGCCATCCACTGCTTATTTTGTAAAAAAATATTTAGGCCCCCTCCCAAAAATTCAATTAAACCTCCGACTATATGTTTCTTCCACGTTCAACGGGACAGGTGGAGTAACCACATGTTAACCACATGCGACTGATCGCCGGGACTGATTTTGCTAGCATCGAGTTTGCTACATACACCGTCGAAAGGCTTAATATTAATTATATTATAATATTATAATTAATTATGTAGGTATAGCATGGGCGGCGGGACCTTACCCAGATGGGCACCACCGAATCGTCGTAGTGGAACTGCTCGTATGTGTAGTGCATCGTATCGTAGTGCTTGTCGAACATGTAATTGTCTAGTACGCCGTGCTTGTCGGAGTACATTCCGGTGGCCATGGTGAAGTGGTTGACGAACGTCTTCGTGGGGAACGTACTCCGCATGTACGGTGGCGCGGCCGACTCCTTCTGAAACCGGGCCATGTGCGGCGTTACGTTGGGCTTTATATAATCGGGTCGGAAGCCGTCGAACGACACGACCACCGTCACAGGGTGTCGCGTTACGGCTGCCACCCCCGCCGCCGCCGCGAAGACCGCGACTAGGCACTTCACGGCCGCAGCACCGACCGGCCTGCACATGGCCAACGGCCGCGGGAGACGTAGTGCCGAGCGGAGAAAAAAAAAATCGCTAATCCGATGGTGTGATCCGCGATCTACGGGTCTGTATATAATACAATATAGATCGATAAATATTATCCGGTAATTCCGGTGCGGATGTTGCCGGACGTAATACCGGAAGGGTGAACGGACGCTGTCGGAGTTATATCGTAAGTCTGCGTCGTCGGACACACGGTTTATACTCGCCGTCTGGACCGCCGCGTATTTTGCTGACGTGCGTAGAGGTCGGCGAGAGGTAAAACACTGCAAACGTGACGTCGACGATACACTTCACTAACCTAAAGAATATTGCACGCGCGCGTCGAAACAACAGGTGCCGTGTCGGAGTGGGGACGACGCGTGTAGAACTTCGGCCTGGGTCGACGCCACGGCGACCATGATATTGTGTTTATTTTTATGATTTTGTTATTATTATTATTACTACATATCATTATAATATTTACTTGTAGTACCTATACTGTATTAGTATTGCAACAATATAATAACAATAATGAAGTACAGTTGTTTTCAAGACTACGATTTAAAAAAAAAAAATGTTGCTATACTAAATAATATTGTAATTTATAATACTGCAGATCAACGTATATATAACCTATTTTGTGTTATTATATTATTTTCGAAATTTTTGCAGCATTTGTTGTCAAAATTCGCTTTAGTAATAATTAACGTTTTTGTTTGCTCATTGCAAATACGCCGCCAACGGGAATTTGTTATTTTAATTATTAATAGTTAATACAATTCCTTTAGAATATATTATAGACTATTCGCTATTAACATGTTATACATTTTTTTTTTATTGAAAGCTTGTTGTAGGTACACATACATATTACTTTTGGGGCTTATTTTCTCGGACGAGGATATGAGGAAAATTAAAATGTTGGTGACCCACAGTACTTACTTAATAATAATAATAACAAAGGTACAAATACGTAGTGTATATGACGTAAGTACTGGGTAGGTGTATAATCAATATGAAATGTACCTATAATATTTTTAAATTTATAATCTACAGTCTAATTTACTTTTTTAAAGTTAAAGCTTCCGATAACTTCATCTGTACCAACTTATTTCTTCTTATCAGTGGTTTGTTAACAATGCTAACCCTTGCACACAGACTGAGTTGTATATTTTATATTTTAGTCCGTAAGCTTGTATGAGATTCTTACTATTATTTACAAGTAACCTACCTTTAACGATTCTCGTTCGCAACTTACGTTATCAATATATTTGATTTAATTGTAAATCATAATCACAAATCACAAGGTGTACGACTTAGGTACTATGAAGTACCACAATCCCTACTATGAACAATATGATCGATAACAAAAATAATAGATAATAATAGTCACCTGATATTCTACTATCGTATTGTTTTCATGAGTTCAACCGTATCCTGCAGTAATATATCACAATTCACAATTTCAATTAACATAAATCGAATACATTATATTTGTTAGCAATTTTGCATATTAATAAAATGATTTATTATATTGTGTTGTGTAGTATTTTTTATAATATTATTAATTTTATTAATGTGTGTCGTGTACGCGTGTACGGTGTACCTATATAATTATTATTTATTATTTATATAATATGAGGATGATCACATATTCATATGGCACACTGCACACGCCAATTTCGACCCAAAAGAAAAACAAATCATTATCATAATCAGTGGACAGTCCACTGGACTATTCCTTATACGACAAAGTTGATAAAAAACATGTCTTTTTTTTAATGATTTTTTTAACCGTTAAAAATATGATTTAATTGAGTTTAAAACAAAATATTAGAGACTGTAATAATTGTTTATGCAGTTTAATGATTTATTATCATTTTGAAAAATGTTCGAATGCAGCCAGATAGTCCAAAAAGGTTACCAACCACTAATCATAATAATTAGTATTTTATATTATACTGCTATTATAACTAAAAATAATAACTATATTGGTATTATTGCTAAAAATCCCTAGATCGTTATAACTATAGTTATATATTTACGGTAAACTATACATTTTTAATTATACATTTTTTTATCACTCATATTTTTTTTAATCAAATTACAGTAGGTATAATTTGGTAGTTATTTTGTTTTTCTTCTACAATCTTAGAAAATGTACTCATAGCTTATAAAAAACTAGCTGTCCGTTCCGGTTGGAAGTGTTTGTATTGGACGTTCCTCGTGCCAATAGAAAAATTATTATTATACGAATACCAATCTACTAAACTAGATTGAGCAACGGGCAAGTTGATTTTTGGGTAAAAATAGTTTGAATGAAAACAATAGGTACCTATTGCCTTTGGATAAATAATTATATACCTAAAACTCATTTGTATCAAACTGAAAAATAAAGATTACTATAAATAATTGTTTGTGTAGAAATTTCAGTATTAAAATTGTTTTTTTTCACCCGTTTTCAGCAATTTTTTTTTAAGTATAAAAATTTCATACACTAAATATTTAAAGTTATTGATTTTATTTTTATAATATTTCTTTGTAAACAATACTATTAGTTTTTTTAGTCAGGTAATTATACATTTTTTTTTCAAAGCTTACATGAAATCAAGTAACATTCAACTGGCCATAAGCAAATCAGTGATCGGTATCGGTGGATCTCGCTTTTTGAACTAATTTCATATCTACTTAACCTATTACTATAGACTTATTATCCTTAGTACACAAAGTTATATAATTCAAAAATTACTCGTTCAAATTTTGATTTAAATACATTAATATTCTCAAAAATAATATCTCAAAACAGAAATCTTAAACATTCCTACTATACGGTAGACTATACTCAATAATTCAGTATTATTAATTTTAATAATGGAACAATTTTATTTAGTGAAATGTGCACAATGACGATTGGTACCTATACTTACTCCTACGAGTTAAAAGTAATACAATGATAGACCACTTTGAAAATCACTAGCGTCCATCCGCCAGTATGATTAAAATAGTTTTTTTACGTATATTATATAAGCATAAGTACTATAGGTATGTATTTTAAACTAATAATTATAAAATAATATTTTTTTTTTAGTTTGAAATAAATAAAACCAATATAAATATTAAATATTGATGTTACATAATGATATTTCTATTATCTAAAGTGCAATTATAGGCAAAATTAAATCCATGATAATAATAATAATTAATAACACATTTATTTTTAGTCCATCATACTATGTAGTACTATTTTTTTTTCAGATTATTGACTGGATATGGCCAACTGAATTTGAACTAAAACTACAATATAAGTGACCATGGATGCAATTATCTGAAAAATGAATTATTATTATTTAAAAAAATGCAATAGCTATTTAAAAATGTAAAACTTAAAGTAAAATACAAAATAGATATGACAAACTCTCAAAAGTATCATTCTCTATATAAAGTTTTTGTAATAAGTTATTTTATCTAAGATTACTCTAAATCCATAAAATAATGATTTTGTGTGAATGCGTTTTTTCGTGCTTGTATGTTGTTCGTCGGTCAAAGAGGAGGAAAAAAATACATGTTTTCTTTAAGTCAGTTTTGAATGCTTAATAGTGTTATGTTATTTTTAAATGAGTATAGAGAGGACACTTACTGATTGAAGTAGTTTGTAGTCCAAATCAAAAAACTCATACACATCAAATATGATCGGATTGTTCCAACAATTCAATATGAACACCTCAAACTATGTACAACGAATAATATTTCATAAATATTAGTATATATTAATTGCTATTAGACTAATTAGAAGTCAATAAGTTAAATAACAATATTTTACTTCTTTGACAATCCATGTGTTTGTTGTAGTACGGACTACATCATGGGCGATCAATACAGTTTTTTTTGACTATATAACAATAAACATACAATAACATTTAATTATTGACATGCAAATGTTCATTGTAAGACTCATAAATTATGTGTGATAATAAATCATTGAATATAGTAACAATACCGATACTCATACAGTTATAATTAATATAATTTTTGAATAAGAATGCCATAGAATTTATAAAGAATTTAATAGACTTAGACTATTTTAATGGATTTTCTATACTTTATAAATAAAAAATTTCCAGATGAATATAGAAAATGAAAATAAATAACAACTGTAATGATTTACTTGCAGGGATAGAATTTAAAATTGTATTATTTAAACAAAAACACGAATTATAGTCAATTTTATAATTAATTAATGTGTTTATAGATAAGCTTACATATTATATATTAATACATCACTTTTGAAATTATAATATTTTAATTCTTAAAAAATAATTTAATTTGTGTAAAATTAGAAGTGTCTTGTGACTTAAAAATTGTAATTTGTAAGTGATAATGGTTTTCTAGAAGTTCATTCTTTAAAATTTGAATGTATTTTAATAATACCAAAATTTAAGAAAGTTTTATTTAAAAAATGTATGTAGACTTCTTATGACAGTTAAAAATCAAAGTATAGAACTTAACATTTGGAATTTTTCAGTAGTTTGATATAAAACAAATGTGTAATGAATATTATTACTGTCTAAGAAAGTTTTTAGTTATCAGTATATAAAATTGAATTTTTTTATCCTAAAAAATTTGAAAAACAATATTAAATGTACCTATGATGAACAATTTAATTAAAAAAAATACTTAAAATAAACCTGATTTTAGTGTTCAATAAACTTAGTTGTAAAATGGTCTAAAAAAATTAAAAAATAACCATAAAATTTAAAACTATCCAAACAAAAACTTCTTATTCTGATTCAAAAATACACAAAACTTACATATATGTTATAAAACGAGCGCACTACATAGTTAAATTTGGAAAACAATGCAAAACGCATCAAAATCCCAGCCATTTATAGACTGTATTAATAGATCTTATAATATTTATGAATATTAATTTGATTATTTTTATATCGATTAAAATTTACTCAAATTACGACTATTATCACTTAATAATATTATTTTTTATAACAAT